TGCTAATTTGAGATCGTGTGGCAAAAATATTTATTACGTAATCTTTATGTGTACTTTTTTTAACATTAAATATTTCATAAATTTGATGATATTTCTGTGAATAGTTTGTCCTTTTTGAGACACTTTGCTGCAATATATTTATTTATCTGGAGCAATGGTTACCAACTAACGGCCCGCGGGCCACATCCGGCCCGTGAGTCCTCTTTTTGTGGCCCTCGAACTAAAATATATTAGTTGTCATTTTTTTGCGGACAATTTGCGCCAAATATCTATATGGGTTCAAAATACTTTTCCTTCGTGAAAAAAAAAATAATTCTTCGTTTCTGTGAAATTTAGCATACCAACGGTGCAAAAAAATTTATATCTCTGGTGAAAATCTACTTCTTATTTTAATTTGTAAATCAATGCTTTTGTTTTGTACAACTTGATGAAAATATGACAGTAATATTTAACGTTCCTTCAAACATAAAAGAGTCCTATATAAAATTTTGATAAAGTTGCGGCCCGCCATTTGATTGGTGTTTTTAATTGCGGCCCCGGCTTAATGTAAGCTGGAAACCCCTGAGCTAGAGTAACGAAAGGCACAATAACAAATGATAAGGCGAAGTAAGTGACTGAAAAAGAAATCACAGTCTGCCTTTGGAGAGCATTAAGGGTTGTCTCAATTTCAAGTGCGGAAAGTTTCTCCTCTTACTCTCGAACCAAAAGGAATTCGCCGTCCGAGGAGGTAGAGCCAAGTGCCATCTCCTAGTGAACGAACTATAGGTTAAGAGCTGTAGCCCCAATCTAGAATACACTTTATTACCATGCGATGAACTTTAAAAGGATCGGTGTAAGCAATACCGAGCATTTTTCTTCAGACATAAGAACATTGGTGTGGGAAATATTGGGCTATTGACTTCAATCTTAAACAATAGTGTAATGAATATTAATAAGGTACAAAACTCGTTTGCACTATACTAGGTAAAGATAATTAATGTGTCATCTAATTATGAAATATTTACCCCGACCTGCCCCAATTTAGGGCATAAGGGTAAATGTTTATTAAACATATTATTGTGTCATCTAATTATGTATTGCTTTGTACAAATATGAGTCTGACGTTACTTCAACCTTCAACAGGCACTAATGAAGTTTTAATACTAATTTTATTAATTTGTAATTGTGTTTCCTAATGATAAATGATTTATTCCACTCAAAATATTTTGCAGCCCAAATAGTGCCATGCGATTTCATTTCTGATTTTGGGATATAGCGTTTTGTAAAAGTGGCAATTAAACGAAATATTTTTTTTTTAAAAAATTAGACTTTTAACATTATAAAAGACATTCTGGAAATTAATTATATATATAGGCTGGGAGTAATCTGCGGATTTAGGGCACAAATCTCTTAGACTTGTGTCGTTTAAAAAAAACTTTTTGCGCTGAATATGCAACTTTAACTGAAAATGGCAGTCTAATGCTGATTTATTTTTTATGTAATTCAGTCGTCGATTTTAATGAATCAAGGGATATTTTAGAAAATAGTTGTGTAACCTGCATTTTTATGACGTAAATGTTTTAAAAAAGTTTTCTTTCGCTAAATACTTAGCATTTAAGTCATAATTTTTTTAAAAAAAAAATGGCATTTATAATTGCAGTAATTTTTTAAAAAAACTTCTACGCTTCTTAAGGACATATTATTTTCCTTAAAACAGTATTAAAAATAACTGGTGTTTTTTATCATTTTAGTGCAATATTTTTAATGAAACATATTGTTCTGCTCTCTTAATCTCTGATATTTCAAACTTGTTAAATAAAAATTTGATAGATTTATAGCATATTGGCTTAAAATATTCTAAAAATCAGTTTTCGATTTTTCTCCACGTAATATTAACAGAATTAAATCTACCTCAAAAAAATTAGTTTACATCCTGCAAAAGATGCTATTAATTTTGGACCATAGTAGCATGACGTTACGGTGATAAAAACTCTTTCAGATATATATCATATTTTTAAGTTTCTTTTTCATAGATCTGACAGGCACAAGATACTTTTCCTAATGACAGATTTACTGACATGTGCGGTCTTTTGAAATTGCCTGCCAAATAACCTACAACCCTGAAAATGTTTCTTATTCTAGAACTTTTGTCTTCTTTTTAGAGTCAAAATTTTATTTCCTTATAAGTTGCGAGATACATTTAAGAAACTCTAACTTTTGCATGTTATACAATGCACGGAAAATATTCGTCAACTGAGAGAAAAAGAAGCAAAAAATTTTTGCACCAAAATAATTAAATAATTCATCTAATATGTATGTATACTAATGTCCCATGAAAAAAAATATTCCTTAAATTTTAATTATGTTGTTTTTATTTCTAATTTAGCAAGCTAATCTCGCCAGCCATTGGCCATTTATGATTTCGTCTTTCTTTTGACAAGGACCATCGCATGGGTGAAAGTACGTTTTAGCTCAGAACTCCATGGATAGATGGCAGCACCACTCATTCGAGAGACCATTTCCATAATTTAGACTTCGATCTGAATGGGAAGGAAATTTTCTCCAGACCTCCGTACTCAGCGACTATATATATATGAAAATGTATAATGAAATTATAGCCTTTGCATACTATATATATATNTATATATATTAATAACAAAGAGAGGAATAAATAATATGATTCTTCGTTGATCTATTTTTAAAAAAAAATTAAAAGAATCAGCTTCATCCAAAACCTCATAAACACCTATGCAATTGATGCTACTCTTCTTTACTTTCGCATTTCTATGAACTTTTAAAACAAGATAAGCACAAAGCACTTAGAAATAGAATTTCTCTAAACATTCGAGCTCTCCCCCGATTCGTATCCCGAAATTCTTCTATTTTATGTATACTTATTGCTAGACTTAGATTTTTATAGCTCCATCAAGGGATTTCCGATCTAAAGCAAACAATAAAAACCTACTTTTAACGTGACTAAAAGCCCTCGTGGAATAGTTGTGTAAGAAATCTTTGGAAAAACTCTCTGCAAAATATATATGAAAAGAAATACTTGATCATTAATGTTTGGTTTCGTTTGACAATGTTCAGTGGTTCCTTTTAAAACGAAGCTTTTTGAGGAATTTTAAAGAACATGAGGAATTTTAATTCAACAGGTTATTCAAAAAGTCTGGTATAACAATGTGTAAAAAATTCTATTATCTGGTGAATTTTAAAGTGTAAATTAAGGCTTAGTTTGTTGCTTATTTTAAAACTGTACTGTGTCAAAGCAAGTTAAAGTACAATCCCTGACCATATTATTACACGCACTATAAGATTATATGTAAAATTATAATTATCAGGTGATACTATACTGTTTTACGTGACTGAAACCGGTTTGAACTTGTTTACATTTGTGTATTAGTTGGTTAAATTAGACTACATGTAATATAAATTCGGCGATTGAATAAATTAGATTTATAAATTATTATAGAATATTTATTATATCAGGTATTATACTTGTATTAGTATATTATATTTATCAGACCAAAGGATTAGACGCACTGTGGTGTTTTAATAATTGCATGTTTTACACGAGTTTGTATGCACACTTTTATACTAAAAAAATGTAATGGGTTTTAAATCAGGAGATTTTTTATATACTTCCTATTTGTATTTATTTTTAACTTATTGCATTACAATGTTAACCAATCGATGCGAGGACGTAAAATAATGCAATCTGGTCTCAGCTGCGTAAAAACAATAAAGCGTAAACTAGTTACACCTGATAACTAAGATTTTACATAGAATCTTATAGTGCGCCTAATAATTAGGCCATTGTAGTTTGATATTTATTAATAACAGTGTTTTTTGAAGTGTCTGAAAACAATAATGTCACAGTTAAAGTGTCTAAGACTTGAGGCGAAGTTATAACTTTAAACTATGCATAACATCGTACCTTAAAGAAGTATCTGAGTTTTAGTTTAACTTAAATATTTTTAAAAAAAATTACTTAATTATTGAACAAATTGCCAATTATCAGAATTATCAATATCATTAAGTAATTCTTAAATTTTCGAGATTTTATGAGCTCAGGCGCTTCTTGAAATATAAAATAATTTCAACTCAAACTCTTTTCATTTTCACGAAGCAGTGACAATTTGACATTTCTTCATATTGACATTTCGTGCCATATTCACATAGAGGGGCCTGACTAAAGATAGGCTAAACTTGACTTAATAGTTATGAATTTCTGATGAAAACTCACAACAGTTATGGAACTATCGTGATAATTTCTTTAAAAAATGTGGTTTTAAGTTTTATATCAATAAAATCAGTAATATTTGCGATATTTTTTCTATTTACTAAGAATAAAAATTTTCAGTTGCTTAGTTTTTTATTAGCGTTTTTAATAGTGGTTGAAAATTTAAAAAGTTTTCTAAAATCTAAAATTTTAATAGATTTGCATTTATGTTTGGTTTAAATAATTATCTTCTGATTAAAATATTTATTTCAAATTTAATCTGTAATTGATAATAAATTTTGAGTTATATTAATTTGATGTTCATAAAAAGCGCATAAAAAAAACAAGTGAAAAGGAATTGTTTTAGCTTCGTTAGAAGTTCATTATATGGAAAAAAGCTTTCATGGGTTGTTTTTAAATTAAAATTATAAATTTATTTTTCAAATCGAGATTAGTTTGAATTACTCTATAAATTTCTCCCATTCCTTTTTTAAATTCTCAACATTTTGCTTACAATAACTGGACTTATTTGATTTACAAAGTCAGTAAGATCTTTCGTACTTTATTGTTATTTAATAGTGGAATTTTTTATTTCTTATTTATTTAAAATTATTTTAAACAAATAAAAACAAATACAACAGTAGATTCGTTAATGATCTACTGTTGACCAATGACAATAGATTTGAATATATTCTATAGAAAACAAACCGTTGCTTTTTTTTTACTATTTTAGTTTCGTATTTTACCCTTTTTTATTTGTTCATGTGCCATTTAGTTAGAGTTACAAAATATCCTCTTTAAATATGAACTGAAAACATTTATCGTTAGTCGGATTTATTCTTAAAATAAGAAGAGACAAAATTATCATTCATTTTATTTAATAACCAGTTATAGTAAACATTCAACAAGAAAAAAATATATGAATTACAAGAGATAATTTATAATAGAAACAAGATAAAATGTATAACTATCAACAGTAACACAAACAACTTAATATCATTAAATAAGAATCTGCAAGGTCTCAGGTATATTTAGTTAAGGTGAAAAAAATATAATTTATATAAAATTTATACAAACTTTCTGTAGATAACATATTCGTTCTATAACTATAATTGGCGGCTTAATGTAATTATAAATGATTTAAGATACGTTGTTTTTAACAAATGATTTATTTTAACTTTATCAGAAACTTAAAAATATGTTTGACGTGGGCAATTCTTATTTTTCAAATGTGCCATGCTGTAATTATTGCTGATCTATACGTATACATATAATGGATATAGCACTTATTATTTCTATTAGTTGCAAACTGTTATAAAACATATAACATCAAATTACACTATTCGGACAATTGTCCTTTAAGAGTTAGCAGGTAACGAATATAGCGACCGGGAAGGATGCTTCCTTCATTTTAATATCACTGTTCGAAATTATTGCCCGGAAGAAAATTTTATTCCAGTTTTGACTACCTTCTTCGGCAGAGAATTATTAAAAATGCTTTCCTAAAGTCCATATTAAATACAGTATATATTACTGGGTTTAAGGCTGAGTTAACATAACCCAGCCACGTGACGAAGTTCACAACACGTGACGAGACGTAACAGGTTTCACAAAATGGCAAAATGACGTACATTAAGAAGAAAGGTAGCCAACACAAAACGAATACGCCCATAACGATTCCTAATACTCTGGCGGCTCTCCTCTCCTTGGAAAGGCATATTTTTTGCTTCTCTCTCATATAGTGTCTCACAGTAGCAGTTAATCTAGGGTTGCCATCTGGAACCAAAGTTCGACCAGGTCGAGGATTCATTGGTGGTGGCTTTAAAGTGTGATTGTCGGCGAATTCTGTCGTGGCGACTTCCTTATTCGCTGGATCTTTTTCACTCTTTTCGTCTGAACCTTTGTTATTCGCCGAGGATGAAGTCGAATCATCTGTGACAGCTATTGTGCTGATTTCTGATTGTATCGATTTCAGAGGTATCGACGACGAGGCTGTATCTGGGCTTTTTCGCATGGCCGCCAACTTGGCGGCAGCTTTAGCCTTGCTGCGAATCCTCTGTTTTGCCGCTTCAAAAATCTTAATGTAAACGACCATCATAATTGCTAAGGGAATAAAAAACGAACCGCTTGCCGAGAAGACAACGTACGCCTTTTCTTCCGTCAGCATGCATGGTGTATCATCCGCGAATTCTTCTGGCCAATCGTTCCATCCTACGAGAGGGGGAGCCGATATGGTGAGACTTACTCCCCAAACAGCTGCTATCATCAGCATGACCCTCGATAAAGTACGCTTGCTCGCATAGTTTATTGGATCGTGAATGGCCCAGTATCGGTCCAATGCAATTGCACATAAGTTCAGAATGGAAGCTGTGCAACACATCACATCGCAAGTCAACCACATCTTGCATACGGACAATCCGAATTTCCACTGAGCCATCAGTGTGTAAGCTACGTTTAAAGGCATCACCAGAACGGCCACTGTGATATCTGCTACTGCCAAAGACACTATGAACATGTTCTGGACGTTTTGTAGAGGTCGATAGGTAAAAACAGACATAATGACGAGAATGTTGCCTATGACAGTAGCTAATATTATTATGCTTAAAATGAGTGCAGTAGTTACAGCCTCGATGGTTGACATAGGCTCTTCCAAGAACTCAGTCTCAGTGCTGTTGTCAACATTTTCAATAATGTCTTCCACGACGATATCCATTGTTAAGTATCCGTCATGTATAAAATATAGAGAAATGTTACTAAGCATATCATTGTAAAAAATATATCACAATTTCAAATATTTTAATTATCCCCATACGGTTACATTTCAAGTGAGCTTTGCTTGAAAGATTCATCTTTAGATTCAACGATCCTTCAGCTAATTGTGATCCTTTCATTCCTATAAATAGAAATAAAACATAATTAACAATGTTCATGGTTTCACAATAAGTGCAATTAAATAAATATGAATATTTGAAAAAAAATTATAAAATAAGTCAGAGCTTTCTATCAAAATATTTATTTGGGTTTCATTTGGCAGACATTGGCAAAATATTTTAAGAAAAAATAATTCGCAATGTTTTGCATTTCGTTGAGTAAAATCGAATAAAATGCAAATTGGTTTACGTAATTTTTTTTTAACCTTAAGTTAAACTTTTAAATTTTATGTACAATAATAAGAAAAAGATATTATAATATATAAAATTAAACTTTTAGCTTTCTGGAAGATTTATGATTTTTATACATTTTAAAATTTCCTGTTAGCAATGTTCAAATATTTTAGTTTAAATAATGGGCAAATTAAGTATTGCAAAATTATAAAATAACGATTATATCGAATCAAATCGAAAAAAGGAAAAAAACCCGAATAAAAACAAGCCATACTACACTGTAAAAACTGTGGTGTAATATCTCTGAAAATCTGAGGAAACTTTAAACACCGAAAATTCAAAAAGTTTACATCAAGATCAAGCGCCTTTGCACTAAACAATAAATATTTTTGTTCCTGAAAACTCCAATCTTAGAGCATCTGTAATTGCGTTACGTCATCAAACATTCTCCAATCAACGACGAGTTGACGTTTGTTGACTTCAATGATTTCAATCTACTGATATAGCTAAAATATCGCGTTAAAATATGTATGTATGTTTTTAGTTTTGTAAAAAGGACATTACTATTTTAATTTTCAAGTCTCTATAAACTGTATTTAATATTTGAATTAAGTATAATTTCTATCTGTACCTAGTCTGTTACGTCTAGTTCGAACTAGTCTTAGCATTTTGTCTGTGTTACATGTAAATGAAACTAAATTTGTTTATGGAACTAATTTTATTATAAGTATTAGTATATGCATGAAATCTAAATTACTGATTCTTACTTTATATTGTATATAACTAATTAAATATAACTTCATTGATTCTTATTTCTATCATACCTTACTGTAATTATAAATTTGAGTAACACTGGAAAATAAACTTGGTAGTTTATGCCCACAGTTATAAAGTTCGTTTATCCAAAGATAATTCTATGCAAAAAATACTTTTTAGTACATATTTATTATTTTTTTAATAATTCATTTAATAACAGTCGGAAAAAGCTTTGCATTGAAAGGTATAAAATTTTTCACTTCATTTTAAAGAATGTAATTTTATATGGCAAAATAGAAAAATCTGAGCGAAATCGGTCAAGTAATTCTTGTGAAATCTAACTTTAAAAACACTACTTCCTTAAAATTTTTTTTCTCAGAAACTATTTGACCGATTTCGCTCAAATTTCGTATTTTGCCATGATGAACATCTCTTAAAATAATGTAAAAAATTGCATACCTTTACTGTTCAAAATGTTTTCGACTCTTATTAAATAAAATAATAAAAAGTAATAAATATAAACTAAAAGTTATTTTTTGCCAGGAATTATTTTTGGATGAACGAATTTCATAATTGCGTGCAAAAATTTTTCATTTCGCTTGAACAGTTCTCGAGATATGGGGAAATACGCAAAAAGTAAAATTAACGTTAAGAGGTAACTATTGGGTGCAAATCAAACTATTGTGACAATATTTCTCAGGGTGTGGCTTTCCCACATGTTTTGGGTTCGAATTCGTAGAAAAAAAAGGTATGTTTATTCGGAGAAAATACGTTTTTGTATCTGATTTCGTAACTTAAAATAACATCTGCACTAATTAATTAGCATATTTAAGGTCACCCAGTCGAACCATTAAGATTGAGTCCTAAAACGTAAAAATTCGATCGTTAGATCGAACAAATGGTCCGTTTACTTTCTTTGCGCATTGTACACAAAATAAGTGCAAAAATGAACTGTGAACTGCATCAATTTTGCTTTATTTTGTTACAAATACGGGTACTGGACTATTTTTATGAAAAAAAAATCTTGCTGCTTATATTAGTAACAAATTTTCCAAAATGTATGGAAATTTCTCAGAAAGCGTGACGAAAACACACTGGATTTAATTTTAAAATTTAATTAATTTCTTATCGTAAATTTTAAGATAAATGTCACAAATTAGAAATGCGATATCTGTTCACAAATCCTTATTTAGATTTGTTTATACGAAGCGAGAAATTTTAAAGACTTTATCAAATCGTGAAGTACACTTAATTTCATCATTTCTCTCAGAGGAATTAAAATGACAAACGACGTTATTCACTTTTAGTTCATGCTCACGTGATCCAGAATATATTATTCCTTCCCCAAAAAGTCAGTCTGTCGGAATCACCGCCACTCAACACTTCAAAATGATATTTTCGAACAATGAATCTTGTTTGGCGCGATCTTTTCCAATAAAAGTCAGCAAATTATAATGAATCCTTTGGCAAACAAATTCACGCTGTCGGCGATGGCATTATGTTAACGCAATTAGGCAACTAAAGTTAATATACCTTTCCCGCAAGGCTTGCCACTCTGGATTGGCTTTTGTTTTCTCAAGAGGCCGCCAAAAGGCTCTTGTTTCATGCTTGCCCAAGCATGCTTTCGTGACGTATCACCCAGTCATTGGTAGAAAAATGAAAAACTCAATGAAAGCGCCTTCTGGTGATCAAAATAATCTACTTTAAGTCTAGGTAATGTTATATTTAGAAAAATAAGTTTGATGAACTTCTTGAGAAAGGAAGACAAATCAAACTAAGAAAACAAATAATAAAAACGTTGCTTAAAATAGAGAAAAAAAAATTCCATTTTATTATTTTCGAGGCTTTAAATATTATATATTTTCTTTTTCATTTATGGATAATATTATGTGAAAATAAAATTAAAGAAAAGTACTTAAAGAAAGAGAAGTATGTTTAGCGTACATAACGCGTATGGAGCTTAAAATAAAGCAGTGATGGCAAACGCAAGAAAATAAAATATCTTAGCTTTTTTGTAACAACCTGAGTTCTGCAAAATCTGAGTTTTTGTGATTTTAACTCATATATGTAAGAAATAACAGTAAATTTTAAACAATCTCATCACAACAAAATTTGTTTTGTTTTTTCAAACATCGTGTTAGCCCTCGTAGATACAATAAGTTTTCAAGGAAATTTATTTTAAATTTTGTTTTGAAATTCCCGGAAATATAACAAATAAGGCGAAGAAATTTTGGATTCATTTATTTTCTTTCTTTCTTTCAATACATCTATCTGAAGACTCTGATTAGAATACACCGTTCTGATTGATTTTTTTCTGCAGTAAAGCAAGGAAACAAAGATTCTGAAGTAATAAAGAACATGCAAGGTGTTCCGTAAAGACTGACCTTAATGTGGATTTTTGGAATCTTTATCAAAAATTAAAGCATAAAAGTGTACATATTTTGGGTCCAAAGTAATATTAAATAAATGAAATAACGAAAATGTTAACGAAATTTGACAAGGTTGATTTTCAAATTTTAGGAATTTTTGAAACTTAAATGGTCATAAATTAAGATTAAAATTGTTATTTTTTTTTGGATAAACATCGATTCCTGTCTAGGTTTGTGCATATTTTAATAGTCAACATCAAGATTGAATTAATAGTGGGGCCAGTGGGGATCTGATAAGTCTTCACGAAACTAAAAAATATAAGGTATGTTACCGGACAAAATTTGTAATATTTATACGAATTTACAATTTTTTGATAAGGTAAAACAGCATCCAAATAGGTGATTAGCATAAAATTACCTTGGAAACATCAATGAAGGAAATACCGAACAATCGGTTTTTATCTTAAAAGAATACTGGTGTCGAAAATACCGGGTAAGTGTATACCAGACAATGGCCCACGCATTCCTGCTATAGGTTATTATTAATAATACGTTGGTACTTACTAAAAATCTATCGATTATTTTAATTTAAAGATACAAAATAAAATTTAAAGCCCCTTTTGAATTAATATATTACTCTCAAGTAATGCAAACAAATCCTTATCATATTAATTAAATGTACATTTTATACTTTGCAGGTTTGTCATTCGGCTTTGTGCATAATGCCTTAGCAATATCTGAAACGTTTAATCAACTCAAACTTCATGGAATTTCAGCATTGCATTCAATTTTTCTTGAAAACACACTGTTTTAACCTTCCTTATTTTTGTCAGCTTTAATATTATAATATATTTTAAAATTATTTATTTAAGTTTATTTAAGTTTTACTATTGTTAAAAATGATATCAGATTTGTTATTTTAAACTGGTAACAGACGATTTTACATGTTAAAAAATTTTTTTACGACCATGTATGCTTTTTTAGGCTTAAGATATCATGGCTAAAATATAGAACACAGACTTAATTTGAATAGAGAAAGTAGTTAATAACGCTTCAATTATTAACTTAAGAAAGTTGATAGCTGGCAGGATAGCATGAAAAAAGTACCCACATTTGGAAAACCGAAAAATCCTCTTAAGTAATCCTTCAATTCAAGATTGTTTTTGAAAGAGATAATTCATAAAAACAATATAAATATCGGTAGATAAAAGTGTTAGTTTTATCTACCGAGTAATTATAAAATTGATTATCTTTGGTAACAGACCTGACGTAACACACCTGGTAATTTTTCTCTTATTTTGAATAAAACAAAAAAAATTAATATCTCCCAAGAAATTTCAAAAGATTTCTAATATTTCTTCTAGTTTTATTATAGAATACATATGCGTTATAACATCTGAAAAATAATATTAAATTAAAGTTATTTTATGGATTAGAGATTAATAAGGTTTAAAAAATACATTAACTTTGTCGTTTTGGACAGCCGATTTTCTAAGATTGCTATTTATTAAACCTTTATATAAAATAATACGTTAGACAAATTTGTAAAATGTTATTCATTACAAATATTGATCGTATGTATTTATGGAAAACATAAACATTTAAGCCAGCAGATTATTAAATTACGAAAGAAAAAAATAGTCTTATTGGACATCAAAATGTCT